TCTTACAGGTACATCAACAGTACCTGTAATTGGACGTTCACCACTGCCCATGTCAAAAGGGAGAAACACTGTGATATCTGTAGCTAATCAGTTTTGTGTAATACAGACTCTTGTTTAATGCAGAACATTCTTAACAGTCACCTTTTATTCATTTACACAGAGCACATCCCTTCCAATTAATTTAAGTGCCAGTTACAATATAGAATGCAGATATCACTGGTGTTGCAAATTTTTCTAAGAGTGAGCTTTAAAAAATCCTGTAATTCAAGGCCACGGCAATATGTTAACAGTGAGCACTTTTGATGATAATTCTTGTTAATGTGTGTAAGAAGATCCTACAACCAGTCCTCAGTAGACCGCAAGTCACACCATGTTACAGCATGAGTAAAACTGGAACAACCCAGTAAGACATAGGATATGTCATTCAGGATTCCTCGAGTTAAGAGTTAGAAAATGCCTGTAGTCCTCTTATGTTGAAACACCAGGCTGAAGAAGTCAGCCAACAGCCAAAAGAAAAAAAAAAGTCCAAATCTCCATCATACCAGCTTTTAGTGGAGGAAATGTATGACTCACTATACTGTGAAAAATAATTTCTGGTGGATTCTCTTCATATGCTTCTCCTTTCTAAACCTTTAGTATTTTGGTTTCCTGACTCTACCTTGCCTTTAGTTCAATAATGAATTATAATACATAATAAAACAAAGAAACACAAACCAAAAATAAGTTCCTAAAAAAAAAAAAAAGAGTAAAAAAAGAAATATAAATATTTTAAATAAAAGCCTAGGTAAACCTAGTTTACAAATTTACAAATTACAGAGGAACATCTATGTTACTTCCATTACAAAAAAAAAAAAAAAAGAGAAAATCTGAAATATGGATTGTCCAGACGCTGACAGAAGTCAAACTATTTAATAGATACTTACTAAATACCTATTTTATGTAGCTTTCTATATTGTAATATTATAATATAATTGAGTCAATACACCAAGAGGATTGTATGTCTTTAGAGAAAAAACTTCATTTCAGTTTCACTAAATATAATAATGTTTATTTAAAGACATACAACCTTCCTGGCTCTATAACCCAATTTGTCAAAATTTAATCAGTGAATTAAAACAGCTTAGTGCAAAAATAAGACATTCTTATAAGGGAACAGTAAATTAAGTGAGCCTGGTGATTTTGGTCTATTTTCTAACAACTATTTTTTCTTTAACACAAATAGAGCACATATAGAAAGAGGTACCATTTTAAAATCTCTATATTCCAAGTCTTGGATTACTATCCTTTTTGAAAATCATCTTTTTGATTGATAGTTTTTTCACTCTTTCTCATCACCTGTCTGTTGTAACCTCTCCACTGGAAATTCTCAAACTTCTAACCTCACCCAGTTGTTCAAGTAAGGCACCCAATGCAACTGTTCTGAGAAAAAAAAATACACCAAAAAAACCCAAGCAAAAAAACAATTAAAAACAAAAACAAAATGCACCAAAAAACCCCACAAAAAACCAAAACAAACAAACACAACAAAAAAACCCAAAAAACCACACTACCAAAAAAACCCCAAAAAGTCAAAACCCAAAAAACCCCCAAAAAATCAACCAACCAACCAAAACAACCCAACCCACACCAAGTTTCAGTTTATGCAGGTGCTGTGGTTAAATTTGACTGAATTTTTATGGAGCAGAATAGGGTAAAGCTTCACACAGAAAAAAAATGTAGGAACATTAATCTTGTTGATGACATGCAATGAGCAACTGGAGATAGAAATGAAAAGACACTAAAGGTCTGTCTGTAGCCTCTAAATCAGCAGAAAATAAAAGTCTGTGTGCTTAGTGACAGAAGATCAATACTGGTTTCCACAGTTTAGCTTCACTGTAGTGTGGCTCAGCTATACACCAGCTAAGTTATAGTCATGATTGTGATTTTATCTCTGCATGTAAAACAGTAATTTGACAACAAGTGACTGTTTTTCCATACTTTTTTTGATTTGGGGACTTCCTTGCCAGGAAGTCCTGCAGACCAAAGATGAAGCACATTTTTGTTTGAAAAACCATACAGCGCTGCTATTCTTATGATCTCTTATGAAATCAAGTCAATTATTTTAGTCTTTGTGAGCAGCTTAAAGGGATGACTAAGTTCCCTGGCTTTTCTTTCTTTAGAAATTTTACTGTAAAATTATTTCATATTCAAACTGGGGACTCATACCTATGCATTTTTACAGATATTCTGAACCAGAATCAATTCAGAGTACATGTTTATCCCTTTACAAAAAGGAAGCCCTACTCAGATATGTTCTTAATGGCTTCATTTTGATACTATATTCCAATCATATATTTTACTTAAAAAATAAAATAAAATGCAGCAGTAGGTTATGTGATCAACAATTAATGGAACATTGAGCATAGTTTTACCCTTTTAAAAATGCCCATGGTGATTTTTTTAAAAATTAGGTCAACACTGAAAAAGATGAAAATTATATACTGAAACTTGACTAAAATTGCTGAAGAAAAATTATCTTTCCAGACTATAATGGAAAAAGAAAAAAAAAAATCTGATTAAGATCAAAAGGAGACTGACAGGCTATTAAGATTCTCTTTGAAAGTACCCCTTCCACAGAGCTCATCACCACTACAGCAAAAACCTAGAGGGAGGTCATGGCCATAGGAGAATAACCGGGTCCATCAGTTTTCATGCAAGCAATATATCCTCACAATAATGGAAATATTTATTTTATAACAACACTTAACTTTTACTATACTGAGAACATCAGCAATCTTTGTGATAAGCTGACTGAAATCCTGAAGTTATGTTGCCAGATTTTCTACAACACAAATAATCTTACAAACTTTTCAAAATTAAAACCAAAAATTCCTGAGGCTACCTGCTGACGAAAAGTCATGATTACTTTGATAGTGATGCTGTGGTGATATCGGGAGAAAAAAAATTATAGCACATCACCTCTCAATGTTCAAACTCACTCTTCAAAAAAAGAGAAATAAATATCTGAAGGATCAAAACAGACTTGGTGTTTTAGGAGACAGATACCTGCCTCATTATAGTAGGTCCTTGAAGCACGTACACACAACCTCAGTATACCTCTCTGTATAAAATTTAATCAGTTTATAGAACACTGAGCATATTCTCTCACCTATAGTGTGAGCCACAGGACAGGATATGGTTTTAAAAAGACAAAAAAAAATATTTTATGTGCTAAACACAACGATTTGTTTCTGAATATTACCATATTTTCAAACAAAACACCGTTATAAGTAAGCACATTACACAGATGGGAAAACATTACTGTATGCATATCTTATTGAGAGACAAAAATATCTTCTTAGGCTATGATTTGGAAAGTAATTCTAAAGGTGGCAGTTTCCATCTCAGCAATAGTCAGAGCTGTGGGGGTGCTTGAGGGTTGAAGGAACCCTTCTTATATGTCAGATAGACCTGTGAACTCTGAACCATCAGTCAGCAGTAGCTTGTGTAGACTGGGGTCTGAGGTAGGGTGAAGAGGCACATCCAGAGGATAACACAGGGCAGGCCAAGCAATTTCTTGGTAAAAGCACACGGGTGGACACGGCAGGCAGGCAGGAAGGAAGGCAGGAAGGCAGGAAGGCAGGCAGGCAGGCAGGAAGGCAGGAAGGCAGGAAGGCAGGAAGGAAGGCAGGAAGGAAGGCAGGAAGGCAGGAAGGCAGGCAGGCAGGCAGGCAGGCAGGCAGGCAGGCAGGGAGGCAGGAAGGCAGGAAGGCAGGAAGGCAGGCAGGCAGGCAGGAAGGCAGGGAGGCAGGAAGGCAGGAAGGCAGGCAGGAAGGCAGGCAGGCAGGAAGGCAGGAAGGCAGGAAGGAAGGCAGGCAGGAAGGCAGGCAGGCAAGAAGGCAGGAAGGCAGGAAGGCAGGCAGGAAGGCAGGAAGGCAGGAAGGCAGGAAGGCAGGAAGGCAGGAAGGAAGGCAGGCAGGAAGGCAGGCAGGAAGGCAGGCAGGAAGGCAGGCAGGCAGGAAGGAAGGAAGGCAGGCAGGAAGGCAGGCAGGCAGGAAGGCAGGAAGGCAGGAAGGAAGGCAGGAAGGAAGGAAGGAATTGCAATGTGCCCTTCTCTCATCCAGTGCTTGCAATGCCTCCAGACACGTTGCCACAATTCAGATAATGCTTCTCCACCCTAAAATTTTCATAGGTGCACTCTGGGTGTTCATATTTCTATTACATATCTGGTTTGTACAGACGACAGCTGGAGTTCAGCTGAAACAGCATGATATTCTGTTGTGGTGCCTTAATTTTCAGAAAGGGAAAAAAACCCAGACAAGCCCAAAACAAAACCATACCACATTTTCTGTGAGTTTATGACCACCAGCCAGTATAACCATGACAGAGGGAACAAGATGTCATTTCACCACCAGGAACATTGCTCACTAACTTCAGATCATATTCATCCCTCCTCCACAAAATAAGTGTGTCTCAGCATTTATACACCAGGTTGCTTGAAAAGGTAGTGGCTGGAGGATGGGAGAGGAAGACAAGAAGGAGGAAATGAATGAAAACCATGTTTTGACTTTAACACTGAAAACCACTACAGGAAAATATTTACAGAATACAATATTATTAAAAACACTTCTGTTAAAATGACTGCACTTTGATTCAGACTTCTAAGACACATTGATATATAAATTATATTATGCCATATCTTTATTTTTAAACAGAACCAGTGTGACACTTTTCAAGTGTCAAAGTCTTTATTTAGCTATCACCACATGAATTATATTTCACTTTATTGTCTCACTCCACACTATGTGGCAGTAACTTACAAGAACAAAATAGCTCACTTTCTTCTTACTCAACTCTAGCCTTACCCAACCCAGTACAAAAACTAGCCAATAAAAACAATAAATAAAAGAAGTATACTGCAGTAATGATTCATAACTCTCACTGGCTACTAAAACAAGAAAAACAGCAGTAATGGTTTGTATGTAAAAATACAGTGATTCATTTTCAATTTTCAGTTTTACCTGCTAGAGAAAAAGTCTTCCAAGGTGAGTTCTGTGGTATTCCAGCAAGATAACTGGAATGATAGGAGGTCATACAGAACAAGTCCAGCAACAAAATGCCTGTGGATTTTCAAAATACCATTTCTTTTCATTTTCAAGTATTTCTCTATTAGCATGCAATTACTCTGCAAAGTTCTTTTATGGATAGGACGGACAATAGGGATGAAAAATATTTCAGCCTGAATAGGTACAAAAGGAATTCTTTTTTTGATTCTCTATTTCACTGAAAGTCTGAAAAAGCATGTTGCCATATTTTGAAATATCTGTGTGCAAGTCCTTGTTTGACACTTTTGTCTTCAGTTCTATGACCAAGAACATAAATTATGGAAAGGAGTACGATCAAATGACATACTGAGCTTAGAAATGTTTGGATGATGTCTATGTCTTACCAGCACACAATAACTTGCCAGCATACAATTAGAACTTTAAAAATAAAGTGGCACAAAAGCACATATTCTGTATGCATTTTAATTTTCTATTTTTATGCCACAGAGGCTGTGTTTTGTGGTCTCAGCTGAAGACTTAATTACAGCTTTTTCCTTATTCAAACACTGCCACCAAAGAGAGCTGCAAAAGCATGCAGCAGTATTTGAAAAGAAAAGAAGGTAATAAGGTCTTCAGAGACAGAAAATGTCTGTTAGTAGGAAATAGGAATAACAAATTTGAGAAATGAGTTTAACTCCCCCTTCTGTAAGAGGGCACAGAGCCCTGTATTTTGCTGAGTTTTGACAAGAGCCATAGAGCAAGGTGTCCTCTGCTGTAGCAAGTGTCTTCTGAAATGACTGATATTGTCAACTTTATATATTCACAATTCAGCCATTTCCTTAAAATGAATTCTTCATGGTTTGGTTTACTTTGACACATGCTGTGACATGATGCTGCTTGCTACGAAGAAAAGAGTCGGAGAGAGAATAGCACAACTCCTCTGCTTAAAGCATCTGCTCTTCTATATATGTAGTTTTTAGACCTAATGAAAAAGTGGCAATTACAAGTTACAGTATTTGAAACCTACTACCTCAGGAAAGTGAAAGGTCACAATTAAGCTTAAACTACTCTTTATATATAGGCATTTATATATATAGACTTATAGACTTAGTGTCATGGAGTTACTTTACCTTTAAGGGAGTTGGAGTTGCTGGGAAGCGCTTGGAGTCTTTTCTCCTGACCAATTATCGGTCATTGCTGAGAATTGACAGCAGTTTAGGCCATTGAAAAGTGGGATCAACTTGTGAACCCTACCTTAAAATGTAAAAGCAGAGCTCTCTGGGTTCTCTTTGTTTTCTGGCTGTGGAGGGTGGCGGAGCTCCAGGCCTCCCGTCCCTGCCCAGGCCATGCGGCCGGGCGGGGATGGGGCCGGGCCTGCCCCGTCTCCCGGCCGGGAGATGGGGGGGGGCCTGGGGAAGGTTTTCCCCGGGCCGGGCCGGGCCGAGCCGATCTCTGGCTCGGCTGCAGGTTTTGCTGTAACTAATTCACTAGAAACTGCCCAGTGAAGAAAGAGAGAGGCCCTGGACTTGCAGCGGGTTGGAGCAGCGACTACACGCTCCAGAGCAGCCATGAGGAACCTTCCATCGCAGACGGCTCCAGCTCCTGTTCAGCAGAGATCTCCGAACCATCTACAAAAGCCTGGCAAGATTTTAACTCTTTCATTACCCAGATGAGACTTGCGGATTAATCTTTTTATCCAGAGAGAGAGAGAGAGAGAGAGATCAACATGAAAAGAGACTTTATAAACTACCAGTGACAGGAAAGAAAAGAAGCTTCAGGAAAGGTAGAGAATTAAGAAGATGCTTTAATTAAGCTGAAATGTCTCCCTGTTAAAACTATGGAGATGGACAATGAAGTCCTGAAAAGAACTCCTTTAATTCATGATACAGGATCTAGAGAGGAATAGTGTTCAAAGTGTAAATTTGAGTAAAGAGTAATTATGGTACAGTGAAGTGCTGGAGATTTGAAACCTTGAGAGGCAATGGGAAAACTGTTTTCTGGTGAAGCTCACAGAAACAGATGAAGAAGACTTTTTTTGCCTTTGAATAACTTATCCTTAAAAATGCTATCTCTAGACTCATGGCCCATACACACTTCAAAGTGATGTGAAAATGGGAGGAGTGAACTCTAATAATAGCAGCTCTGAGCAGCTAACATTAGGGCAATAGAAAACTATAACAAAAATAGTTTTCTTGTGAGAAACTCCATAAATTAACAGGAAGAAACTTCTGTTTCTCTATAAAGACTGGTGAAAAGACTAGCAAGAATTGGGACTGTTTTAACCATCAAAGTTCCAGAGTTTTTGTCTCTGTTGTCATGTGAATGGGGAAGTGGTGAGTAGATAGGGGATGGAAAGGTTTTTCTGGAAGTTTATTCTGGTGTTCTTGTTGTTGTAGTTTGTCAATAAACTTTCTTTTTTTCCCTTTTAAGTTATATGCCTGTTTTGCTCTTGTTCTAATCCATATCTCACAGCGAGAAGTAACTAATTTTCTTAGTTATTGGTTTAAAACCACGACACTTAGGCAAGTCAAAGAAAGAAAATTTGATTAATTTACGATGTTTAATTTTATAACAAAAAAAATCAATCTTATCCACAAAATTCTTTCCAGTATTGGCACTGTGTCATTAGAATGAATCTGAATTTCAAATTATGTTTTATTATTGTCAGATGTGTACCTGCACTTCTTTCATGGTGACAATTCAGACCTAACTCCAAGATAAAATAGACATGGTCTAGGGGATAAATAGATGAAAAAAATATTTTCTGAGGAAAAATAAATTTTTATACAAGGAGAAGAGATGTATCTGGTCATTTTTTGTCTTTCCTGCCCTCATTTTCTTGGTTAGGCTGATGAAATCATTGATCACTGCCCACTTGTTGCCATGTCCCTGGCTAATCCAACAAAGAGGGGGAAGTAAAACATGCAACCAGTCAAAAGACATGTGCACACAAGCAGAGCTACACTTGGTGGATTGACTGCAATTTTCACAAAACAAACTTCTAACAATTTGCATCACTCAAAGACACAAAAGGTCATCATTAAGGTCTACAAATTTTATAATTTTTTTTAGGTGATAGTAAGGATGTTTCTAACAAGATTTTTGTTTGTTGGTTTTCTTTTCTTAAATACATAGTAGCCATTTCATAATGTGATTTTAGGATTAGCTTTGTTCATATTATAATTGTGTGTCTATTTCAGTTGTCTTGCAGACATGGAATACGGGACTTTATCAGTAGAACCAGATTCTTCATCGTGTGCTACAAAACCTTTCCAGATAACTAGATACCAGAGGCCATTACAAATTGATCAACACACAAAAAAGCCCAAGAATCCCTTGAGAGAAGTACAGTATAAAGTATAAAACCCCCAGCATTTTCCAAGCCTCTTATTTATTCATGTGTACTGCATGTCACAAGTTACATTTGCTCTAAATGCGTTAAATATAAGCTGAGACACTTACAAAGGTCCTTACAGGCCTGGACCTGCCCCATACGAAATCACTCTAAGGAATATCTGAAAACATCATTGCTCAAGACCATCAAGCCCTGGTATTTTGTTTGCTAAATAAAAGCACTCTGAACTTTGTAAAAAGTCATCTTTACTTCTCAGTTATTTGTTAATGAGGTATTCTACTACCTGTTACATACTTCTTTTCCATTAATTTGATTTTTTTAAGATCCTTTGGTTAATATGTAGCTGTAAAAATGCACATTATTTATATAAAACAGACAGCCCCCCACCCTCCATAAAAACCCTTCAAACCAAATTCCAAAACAAAAAAATATAGGTAGGCACAAAGCAGCAAAACTAGACAAGAGGGAATACACAGATGATAAGTTGTACCTGTTTTGTATTCTATCTCATGGCTTTTTGAAGTAATGTGCCATGTGCAAGAGTATTTCCTACCTTTCCTCAGTGGAAAAAAAAATAAATCATACTCTTGGCAACATCTGTGCAGCTGTGAAAAGATGCCTCCTAATACTCCTAATACTTAGGAACAAAGGACATTTCTACAGATACGAATGCATTACTTTTAAGAGTCACTGTTACCATGATTAGTTTGCTCTCTCTGGCAAGGACAACATATTTTGAATCTCACATGTGTCCTGACATGCTTTTTTAGTTAGTGGTATCTGATGTAGCAGTACATAAAGCATGAAATAATGATTCACACAGCTCTGATATCTCTGAGAATCATGTTGAAATATACTATTAACTCCTTAATGTGAAACTCATATTGCAAGCACAAGGGTGGCAACATCTGTGTGCGTTTTTAGTATTTTGTGGAGGAAACAGGGCATGCAATATTCTCTGGGTTGTCATCCATGCTAAAAGGTTTAGGATTCTAGGACCCTCATTTACCATCATTAATATTTGATTCCAAAGCATTAAAAAAAAAAAATTCAAAATATCCATTCAAGAGGTAGAACTTCTTTGTAAACTGAAATTTCACTTCATTGTAAATATATACACAAAACTCTCTAAATTATGTATCTTGCTGTTGCATAGAATATACAGAACTGCAGAAAGATTATTTATGCAATAAAGCCCCAAAGAAATAAAAGGTAAAATTTACACAATACGGTAATATGAATGAATTCTCCTTGTAGCGACTTATCCAAATCACAAGGTGTAATGTGTATATATTGCACTACCCTTCTGTACCCTTCTGTAGCTGTGTCCATTTCTACTTTTTTTTTTTTCATTTAATTAAAAAAATCATATTTTGGTTTTGTTTTTTTCTTTTGTATACACAGACTCTTCCCAGCAACCATTAGACTTGATCACAAAAGTGAAACAGATGGCAAAATTATGCTCCTAAACCCAGGATCATGGTCCTTAAGCTGGCTTTTAAAAGAACAGAACTAGGGTAGTCTCCCACTGTGCTGACAATAGTCAGAAGGAGGTCCCAGAAGTCTAAAGAAGTTACCAAGACTAAGGTCTCAGAAACCTCTGACCAGCCCAATGGGGTGTTACCAGCAGAACTTTAATGTCACAAGGAGTTCTATGGTTTAAGCATTTGTATCACTCAGAATCAAAATGAAATATCTCATAT